AGATTTTATTGATTTTAGAGAGAGAGAAGGGAGAGTGAAAGAGAGAAACAGCGATGACAGAGAAACATTGATGGGCCGCCTCCTGCACGCCCCCTACTGGGGATTCAGCTCACAACCCTGGCATGTGGCCTGATTGGGAATTGAACTGGCGAGCCTTTGGTTTACAGGACGCTGTTCAACCAACTGAGCCACTACAAGCAGGCTGAAAATTTTCATTTGATGTTTGAGTATATTTTAAAGAGCTTGAGTAGTTCAGATTGCCTATCTGGTTCTCTAAACTCTAAATAATTACTAGCTGTCTTCTTTGCATTATGCCTTATAGAACTTGCCTTCTTACCGGCGGACTTTCTGGAAACAAATACCATTTGTTTAAATAAGGATATTTTAATTTGTTAAATGTATGTTTTTAAAAAGGTTTGCTCTTTTCTCTTCTCCTTTCTTTCTCTCTTTCTTAAAAAAAAAGTTAAGAGCCCAAACTTTCTAGTATCAAACATGTATATTTCAGGTGGCTTGAAAAGCAGTTAGTTTTATTTTGTTTTACCTTTTTTCATTTTTAAAAAAATTAAATTTATTGGGATGACATTGGTTAATAAGATTCTATAGGTTTCAAGTGTACATTTTCTTTTTTAAAAAATCCTCACCAGAGGATATTTTTTTCATTCTTCTTCAGATAGAGTGGGAGGGAGAGAGAAAGAGAAAGAGAGAGAGTGGGAGAGAGAGACATCGATTGGTTGCCTCCCGCATGACCCCGACCAGGGCCGAGGACTGAACTGCAGCTGAGGTACATGCCCTTGACTGGAATCAAGCCCATGACTTTCTGGTCCATGGGCCAACGCTCTAACCGCTGAGCAAAACCGGCCAGGGCTCAAGTGTACATTTCTATGATACATAATTTGTATATTGTATTGTAAACCCACTACCCAAAGTCAAATCATCTTCTGTCACCATTTATTTGACCCCCTTTCCTACCTCCTCACTCCCTTCCCTCTGATGACCTCCATACTATAGTCTGTGTCTATGAGTTTTTGTTTTTCTTGTTTGTTCATTTGTTACTTTCAGTTTTATATCCCTCATATGAGTGAAGTCACATGGTTCTTAACTTTTTCTGTTTGCTTATTTCGCTTAGCATGATACTCTTGAGGTCCATCCCTGTTGTCGCAAATGGCAGTGTTTCATCTCTCTTATGGCGAGTGGTATTCAGTGTATGTGTCCCACATCTTCCTGGCCCAGTCATCTATGGGAGCACACTTCTGTTGTTTCCATGTCTTGGCCACCGTCAATAATGCTGCAGTGAATGTAGTGGTGCACATATCTTTTCGAATGAATGTTTTAAACTTTTTCAGGTGAATCCCCAGCAGAGGGGTTGCTGGATCATATGGAAACTCTATTTTTAATTTTTCAAGGAACCTCCATACTGTTTTCCATAGTGGCTGTACCAGTTTACATTCCTATAGCAGTGAGCGAGGGTTTTAAAAAAGTTCATTTTCTAATATTCCAGTAGGTGGCGCTCTTGCAAAGTCTATAAAAATGCTTTGGTGATGGACGGTTGTTTTCTAGATCCCTTCTTCTTGTGACCTACTTGCAAACCCATTTATTCTGGATAGCTAAAATTCATCCCCTCCCCAATTATCAAAGTTATACACGTAGTTTGTTAAGCATTTACAAAATAAATGTACACTAGAAACAATAAAATAGTCTTCAAAGTGTCTGCTAATCCCCAAGAGATAACCACTATAACAGGTTAGTGTAAACAATATTTTCCAAACTTTTTTCTAGTCTCTACACACAACAAATACATATATAAGTAAAAATTTATATTAGTAAAATTTTAGATTTTAAAATAATAATAAATAATATGTTTGTCTTTTTTGTTGTTGTTGTTAATCCTCACCTGAGGATATTTTTCCATTGATTTTTTAGATAGAGTGGAAGGGAGGGAGGGAGAGAGAGAGAAACATCCATGTGAGAGAGACATATCGATTGGTTGTCTCCCAGATGACCCTGACTGGGGCTGGGATTGAACTTGCAACCAGATACATTCCCTTGGCCGGGAATTGAACCCGAGACCCTTCTCTCTGTGGGCAATGTTCTAACTGCTGAGCTAAACTGGCCAGAGCTATGTTTGTCTTTTGTTGTCCAATCCTATAGTTGAATGTTTTCTTTCTTTCTTTTTTTCCTTATGAGTTGTTTCTTGATGAGGTGTTTTCTTTCTTTCTTTTTTCCTAATGAGGTGCTTTCTTTGCTTTCTCATTTCTGCGGTTCATTAGTGCTGAGTCCAAAGGATCTTCCGCGTCCGTATTGAGTGAGGGCTTGTGGCTTAGTGAATGAGGGCTGGAATCTCATGGTAAGATTTCTTGGCTGTGTGAGAATAGGGCAAAGTACGTTTAATAAGAAATATAATGCTTCCTTTGCCAACCGAAGACTGTAGAATATTTTCATCGAGATATTATTGAGATAAGACTGTGATTTTGGATGGGAAATTTTGTGAAATCACTGATTTTTTTTCAGGTAGTTTTTTCCCCTATAGAATAACCTTAAGGGCAGCTGACTGCTCCCCGAGTGAGCAATCTAACAACCAAACCAGAACTGAAATGCTTTTGCCACCCAGTGTTGAAGGCCACACCCTGTCATTTGTTCAATAGGTCTGCTCTGTTCATCGTGGGAGGGGAATATGCACAGGGGCACGAGTACCAACAGGTGAGGATAATTGGGACCATCTTGGAGGCTACCATAAGAACTAATCAAGGCATAGATGGTCACTTCATTTTTCATTGAGGTATAATTGACATACAACATTATATTTGTTTCAGGTGTACAACATAATGACTATATATGTATATATGTGTGCATATCTATCATCTATCTATCTATCTATCTATCTATCTATCTATCTATATTGACATGAACACCACAATAAGTCTAGCTTACATTCATCCATAGATAGTTACTTTGAAGCCATGGGCTTAGATGAGGTTACGTAGGGAGAGAGTATAGGGAGAGGAGACCAGAGGATTGAGCCAACACCCGAGGTCACACAGAAGAGTCTGAGAAAGCTTTCAGTGAGATGATGTCTCTGGGAGCCCAGTGGAGGAAATATTTGCAAAGGGAAGGGAATGCTGAGAAACTAAGATAATAGCTAAGAAATAACCACCGGATTAATACTCGTGCAAAATCCCTTTCTCCTTTGACTCTCACACAATTCAGATGTAGTTGTAAGGAAACAGATGTTGTTTGAAACAGTAACTATTTATGGCCACTTCTAAATACTAGGAAAGGGACATTTATTACTTGTGGGCTGTGGACCTTGTTCAGGAAAAGACCTTGACAATCTCTTCGGGTCTGCAAGGTAAGGCTCCCGTAGGACATGTCCCGGAAGGAGAGGGCTAGACAGAGAGCTGAATTGCACGTGTAACCAAGTGAGATGAATGGAACCACCAGCAGATGTTAGAAGCGTGACTTCAGAAAGCTGCCTACCCAGGCAAGTCATCTTAAAATGGCATAATCCCCTTCCCTGGGCTTTTGCACGCAGGGCTGGAATTCCTCCAGGTCTGCAAGAATCCTCCCTCTCCCTTCTGCTCCCCTTGACACTCCTTGCTCATCAGCTCCCCTGATTTCTCCATACCATTTTGGTTCCATAGAGTAAATCCTAACAGGACACAGACATTGAGTACTTGCTAGGCACCAGGGACTGCTCCTAGTTTTATGTATGTCACCTCATTTAATCTTCACAGAGTTCATCCCCCTTTAAAGATCAGGAAAGTGGGGCACATGGAGCTTGTTACTTGCTGTTATGTAGCAGAGCCAGCATTTGAACCTAGTCTGGCTTCAGAGCCCCAGTTCTTCTTTTATTTTATTTTCTTTATTGATTTTAGAGAGAGAGGAAGGGAGAGGGAGAGATAGAAACATCGATGAGAGAGAACATTGATTGGCCGCCTCCTGCATGCCCCCCACTGGGGATCAAGCCCACAACCTGGGCATGTGCCCTGACCAGGAGTTGAACTGATGACCTCTTGGTGCCTGGGTTGCTGCTCAACCACTGAGCCACACCAGCCGAGACAGAGCCCCAGTTCTTAATCATTAAATCCTGCTCTTGTTTTCTTCTTACGGCTTTGAATCTGTCAAACCCAGACTGAACCACCACCTACTCAGGCTTAGACTTTGGCCACCTTCTGCTCCAACCCAGAACATGACATCTGTTATTGACTTATGGATCTGACCCACCCCAACAGAAAATCCAGCCTTGGCGTCACCGGTATCAGGTAGGAGAAAGGACATCCCAGCAATATTTGTTCACACCCCTGTGCACATGTGTTTCCTCTTCCCATTCTCCTTTCTCTGCCTGGTCAGTTTTTATATGAAGCATTTAGTTGCCCCCGACATATAGCTCACTTTCTCCCCTGTGTGCTCTCTGAACTTCTGTTTGCCCTGTCTCATGGTACCACCGCCCCTGGAAGAGTCTCCGGTCTGGCACACTGGAGGGGTTCGGTAAGTGTTTCTTGATTGAATGAAAGAAGATCCTAGAAAATTAACAGGACAACTATTACACCCTGCAGTGGGCAATATAACTTTGCTATAAACTTGATGGGCTAATGTACAAAGAAAAGGGCGTCAAAAAGGAATTTATTAACTTAATCTCAAACTTCGACATTTTTATCCCAGTATTTATCTACTTTTCTTATGGGTGTTTCACAAACCCCTCTCTATGCCCTTGGCGGTATTGTTGGAATCAAGAAGGTATAGATTTCACATTATTACCACTCATCTTTTTAAAAACATTTTCAAAATATTTTATTTTCTTTATTGATTTTAGAGAGAGGAAGGGAGAAGGAGAGAGAGATAGAAACATTGATGAGAGAGAACATTGATTGGCCACCTCCTGCATGCCCCACCCTGGGGATTTGGCCCACAACCTGGGCATGTGCCCTGACCAGGAATCAAACTGGCGACCTCTTGGTGCACGGGTTGATGCCCAACCACTGAGCCATACTGGCTGGGCCCACTCATATTTTAAAATGAACTTTATTAAAATAATACTACTTGATCAAGGTCCTTTGATTAAAATCACTAGAAGAAAGTTTATTAAAAGACTATATCCAGAAAGATATAAGGAAATTTGGGTTTGTTATAGAGACTGGCATGGCCATGATGACTCATAATTAAATACTGTTTCAATTCAAAAAGGACTCAAAGTGAATCGGAATCCAGAGAAAATGAAACAGACAAAAATAGAGAGTGAACTAATATAGCATCTTACTCTGAAAGGAATAACTACTTGTAAATTTCTTGTTCCTAAGGAAGCAATCATGGGGCAGGCAGATCTTGTGAAATTTTACATTAGTTCTTCGAGTTCCTGAACTTGGGATGAGACCACCTCGTAGTTCACCACAGTGTGGGCAATTGCCTTGATTTTCTGGGTATTGGTAGAGTCTGAAGATAAAGATGGAACAAAGGGGCCAAAAGTTAGTGTTTCAAATGTTCATCCAAAACCGGTTGTTGGTTAACTGACCCTTCTTAATTAGGTATTGACGGATACAACACATCACATTTAAACTTTCAAAACTGACTTTTGCGTTCTAAAAGAATGTATTTTATTCAGTGGAAATGAAATGTATTCAGTGCTGTCTTATGCACAAATGAAAATATGTTTAAGCATTTAAAAGTACTTTTGATGCTCATAATGCCTTTTTGCAGAGTAGATTTTTTTCTTCCTGGGCTTGCCAAAGGTTTTAATACAGTATAGACTACTCATTTTCTGCAGGGATGCATAAATGTTTTTCCTTGGCTCAGAATATAAATATACTTTAAGTTATTCATAATACTGCAATATTCAACGAGATCCTATAGTTTTAGTCATTAATAAGCGACGTATTCTAAGTGATTCTTAGGGAAGCTGCACACCTTCAGAGGAATCCGTGGGCTGCGCTTGAGATTCGGAGTCTGTCCCAGGAGAAGTTTCACCCAGAACGTCACTGCGAAAGAAAACGAGAGAGATGATAGCACATCATGCTTTCTGCAATGAGGAAAAATAAGGAGTTTCCTATTTGAGTTAAAAGTTAGAAAAGTACATAAATCTATGGCCAAATGAGAAAGGCATTCCAAGTCTTGATCAAGAATGATTGAATGATAATATTGTAGTTAACTGTGTACGGTGCCAGGTGGGTATTGGGAATACTGGGGGGGGGGGGGGGGGGCGCTTCATAAAGTATATGCTTGTCTACCCACTATGCTGTGTGCCTGAAGCTAATACAAAATAATATTGAATGTAAACTGTAATTGAAAAATAAAATTTAAATAAACTCAACTGACCGCCCCCAAAAGCAATGTCCTAGTGTTATAACTGAAAAAAAGAAGTGATTGAATGCTGCACCCTGAGAGTCATCAGTTGGTGCCGGGCACCTTTGTTTTCTAACCCTGCCCGAAGTGGCACCTCAAGTGGAAGCGAAGTGGCAATTAATGGAAGCCCTGGCCTCAGAAGTTGGATTTCTGATTTGTAGTCTTGAGTCCTTTCCACTGGGCCAAGCTCCTATGACTTTTGGAAAGTTTGCTACAGTAGGTCGGAGATGGTTCAGGTGGCTATTATTTGTAGCATCAGGAGAGTGCTATCCAAACACAAACGGGTGATTTTTCTTGTCTTTAAAAAACATTTTTTTTTCTTTATTGATTTTTAGAGAGAGAGGAAGGGAGAAGGAGAGTTAGAAACATCAATGAGAGAGACATCGATTGGCCGCCTCCTGCATGCCCCCCACTGGGGATCAGGCCCACAACCTGGGCATGTGCCTGACCGGGAATAGAACTGGTGACCTCTTGGTGCATGGGTCGACACTCAGCCACTGAGCCGCACTGGCCCGGCTGATTTTTCTAGTACTCCTTTGCAGTAGGCCTCTGCCTTTGGTGCCATTGTTTATCCCAGCACTTTATGAATTATTATCAAGTAAAATAATGAATGACAACACTTTGAAAAGTGTAGAGCGATTAATAAATCCAAGGCATGTTTTTTTTTGTCAACTATAGAACCCTTTCTTCTATTGCCCCCTCCCCCAACTGCATCAGGTGTACTGTGTTGGTCAGCCACTGAGGTTATTCACCCTTGTGCGTCGCCGTCCAGCAGGCGGCGGTAGGTCTCGATCTCCAGCTCCAGGCGGGCCTTCGCGTTCAGCAGCTGCTGGTGGTTGGCGCTATGGCGCTCGGAGTCGGCGCGCACCTGGAGCAGGTTCTCCTCCAGGCTGCTGATGAGCTGCTGCACCTGGGACAGCTGGCCGCAGTAGTCGCCCTTGGTTTGGGCCAAGGAGTCCTCCAGGGATTTCTTCTGCACGCGGGAGAGAAATGGCGCAGACGTAAGGATGGAGGGGGCTGACATAACTTGGATGCAACATTTTTTTTGGAAGCCGATATTGCGTCTTTTTGCGAGGGCCCTACCATGGCGAGCTGGGACTGCAGCTCAACCTCCAGGTTTTGCCAGGCGCGTCTCAAGTCGGCGATCTCACTCTTGCCGGACTGAAGCTGCTCCGTGTTGGTGCCGATCTCCTTCTTGAGCTCCCTGCTCTGCCACAGAACAGAGGGGCAGGAGGCACGTGTGAGCGCGGCCCTGACGGGTTGTCTGCCAATGTACCAAACGGAGCCTTTTGTTTTGTCCGCGGTACCTTTTCCATGAACCAAGCTTCTGCGTCCTTGCGGTTCTGCTCAGCGATGGCTTCATACTGTGCCCGCATGTTGTTGAGGAGCCTGGTGAGGTCCACTCCGGGGGCAGCATCCATTTCTACACTGACCTGGGCCGGGCCGTGGGACCGGGAGCTTTGGAGCTCCTGCGGACAGCAAGGGAGAGAAGGGCGCAGGGGCCCGTTATGCCTTCTTGGGCCTCGTCTTCAATATAAAATAGTAAACGTATTTTATGACTGCGTTGGTATAAGACAAACATATTAATACAATGTATTAAAACTTTTTTTCAAACCTAAAAACGAATATCTTTCTTTTGATTTAAAAAGAACTTAAGACCTTTTCCTGGGCCCCTAAACTTACCATGGGCCCGAGGTGCTGTGCCTGCCATGCCTAATGGATGAGTTGGACCTGCTTCTTGGGGATCCAGGGCCAATAAGAAGGGAAGTTCTGGTAGAAACAGTACTTTTGGGGGTTTCAGCTACAGCTGCCAATCCGGGGGTGGCAGACAGTACCCAGGCTCTCACATGTAACAGTCACTGACTTCCGGTAGAAAGCTCTTTAGAAGCCTGTGGCTGGAGTCATGATTAATGTCCGTTCTATATCCCAGGCTCTGACACTCTGGCACATCAGAGTTCGAGTGTGCATCACCCTGGCTATAGCCGCTTTCTCTAAATATATGACATTATGTATTATATTTGTTTTTAATTTTAAAACAAAAATCACTAGATCAGGGTAATTGAAATTCTTATTGTCTTTACCTAATGATGAAAATGACAAAATCAGAAAGTGCCTTTAATCTGCTAAACTTTAACAGGAACTGCCATTAATATTACCACCAGCAGCCGACACACACACACACACACACACACACACACAGACACACACACACACAAGAATTCAGAACAAATGGCCATTTTAACAGAGAAATAATGTATCCTCTCTATCTGTTCTAACTCCACATTTGCAAATTTGAAACTGAAGCTGCGCCTTTGGCTGACCTCCTCGTGGTTCTTCCTCAGGTAGGCCAGCTCTTCCGCGAGGCTCTCGATCTGCATCTCCAGGTCGGCCCTGGCCAGGGTCAGCTCGTCCAGCACCCGGCGCAGGCCGTTGGTGTCGGCCTCCACGCTCATGCGCAGGGCCAGCTCGTTCTCGTACCTGAAAACCACGTGCAAAACAGTTTAAGGACTCAACACACCCATTCGAATAGGGCGCCGGCCCTCTTCAGGGCTAGTTTGTGCATAAACCCGTGGGACTATTTTGAAATGGCAGCATTGCGATGTATGATGCTGTTTTTGCTTTTATAACTTTTCCTTTCCTCTTTAAATGCTAGCTTACTGCTCGGTTGGAGAGAATGGAAAATATCATGAGGTAACACTTTTCCACCAGCAGTGAACCCCAGCGGCACCGCATCCCCGAGAACAATGCCCCCTTTGGCTGGCTGCCCTGGCTGTGAACAGTAGCAGCCCCTCTCGAGGAGTTTCAGCCAGAATCCTAAAAGCAGTTGGAAATAAAATAATAATTCATCTTTTTTTTGCTTAACGTTTACTCATGATTTAATTTAAAACATTGATGCTTCTTTAGTGGCTTTTACCAAGATTGTGCAGGTTCAGGATCATCGCCACCGCTACCTCCTGTGTGGGAATTTTGTGGAGCAGAAAGGACATTAGTATTTCTTCTTTATGTCCAGAGGGTGGAGTATGGGAAAGGAGGCGAGAATATAAAAATAAGTGCATGGTTAATATTTTAGGTGTATGTGTCACCAGGAAAAAGATCATTTTACTTAACTCCCAGGCAAAATCATTATTAATTCATTTTTCTACATGGAAGTTTGAGGTTTGGGACGTTGGTGGAATTATCAAGTCACATCATGAGTCAGTGGCAAATTACAAACATGGTGATCCATAGCCCTAAGTTTAAGCAACTTACACTTAAGGACATGTCATGTGTGAGTTTTGTTTGAATCTAGTTACTGCCCAGAAAGCCCAGTGTAAATTTACCAAAACACTCAAGGTATGGAGCGTGTGAACTGCAGGTTTGAAATATTTACCGTCAATGAAGGCAGGAAAATAGGGAATAAGAAGAAATGGTGGGACATGTCAATTTGCATTCATCTATCTTTTATTCAACTCACTTTGTTCTAAAGTCGTCGGCAGCCAGTCCTGCATTGTCGAGCTGTAAAATGAGCTGGGCGTTTCCGATGTGGGCAGAAGCGACCTGGCAAAACGGGAACACACACAAAACACGGCTGTAAGATCGCCATGATGCGATTATGTTTTGACAGGAAATTTATTTTATTTTATTTATTTATTTATTTATTTTTTATCCTCACCTGAGGATATTTTTCCATTTTTTGTACAGACAGAGTGGGAGGGAGAGAGAGGAAGAGAGAGAGAGGGAAACATCGACGCGAAAGGGACACATCGAGTGGCTGCCACCCGCACGACCAACCAGGGCCGGGGACAAACTGCAACCGAAGTACGTGCCCTTAGTGGGAACTGAACCCGGGTCTCTCCGGACCGCAGGTGGACGCTCTAACCGCTGAGCCAAACCGGCCAGGGCTTGACAGGAAATTTTTAGGTGATGTTAAGTGCTATTTTATTAAGAGTTTAAGGCAATTCAATGTTTAAAAGAATGTATATTTATAGAATATTTAAAAATTAAGGAACATACATTTCCTACAGAAAGATAGTGGAAATAGAGTCGCTTTATGGTAAATGATAAAATGAAACTAAATATCTCGATATGACAAATTGCTCCAAATTGAATTGAATTGAAAAAATACTCGTTTTAAATGGTGATTATCACGATAAAACACTGTAATAGCAAAAAAATAGAAATAAAACATAATTCCCAAAGCCCCTCCAAAAACCACATTCTTACCTTCTTCTTGAGGTCTTCAATCAGTGGGTAGTATTTACTATAATCATCCTGTGACCCAGGGTCTGCAGTCCCAGGTCCTCGTGTTTCGTACCATTCTCGAATTTTGTTTTCCAGCTCAGTATTAGCCTCTTCTAGAGCTCGCACTTTATCCAAGTAGGAAGCCAATCTATCATTAAGATTTTGCATGGTTTCCTTTTCTGATCCAGAAAGAAGGCCTCCATCATTCCCAGAGAGAATACCTAGAGAGCCACCTCCTGGGCTTCCTCCAAATCCAATCCCCAGGCCTCCAAAGCCCCCCACCAGGACTCCCCCAATAGCAGTGCCCAGTCCTCCTGAAAAGAAACATCCAGAGCCGCCACCAAAGCCAGAACTAGAACCAAACATGGAAGCAGCAGAAAAACCTTCCCCATAGCTGCCTCCAAAGCCAAGGGCACTTCCCCCATAACCACTGCCCAGTGTCCCACTCTGGGAAGACAGCCGCCTGGACAGTTCACTGTTCTGCACTGAGAGTGACATGCTGGCGCTGGAGAGACCACAGCCTGGAGAAGGTGGCCCCAGGTTGAGAGGAAGCAGTGTCAGCAAGGCAGAAAGGTTATCCTTTTATAGATCACGAAATGGGTGCTGCAGTTGAAAAGTTCACTCTCTGCATTCAAAAATATAATGTCCCCCCTTTTGACCAACTCAGCACCTAAATGATTAATGCATATTGAAAATTCACTGGCATAGAAATAATTGAATAATTGTGTCCATTACATAATTGATATACAGAAAAAAAAATCTGGGTGGAGTAGAGATAGGTTGTCATAAGGAATTTGTCATAAGGGGGTTATTCTATTGCCTGTATTCTCAGCATTGCCCAGTATCTAACGCGCAGTAGGAAAAGTAATGAGTGACTTTTGATGGATAAATTAATGAGTACTTCTTTCTCAACCATAAGCTTTTTAAAGTTCCTCACTCATATTTTTTATTCATTTCCCTTAGAAAACTCTGTGTAAACCATCCACTCATGATCTAGTCTATCTTCTAGGGAATATCATTTTAGAAGCAGTTGTGAAATGCATTTGGGAATAAATACATTTTCCAGGTTGAAAACGAAATTAGAATTTTCAAGGATTTAAAAACATTGCCATTAGGATGTTGCATAGTTCCTTTCTTTCTGATTCAGAAAGCAGATGCCTTAAACATTGAAAAATGCTATTTTGGGGTAGAACATTATAGTATTTTCAGCAGATCTTCCTGTACAGAAGAATTAACCTTCTTAGTAATCTCCATGAAATCAGGAGCCTTGCCTGATTGTTCACTAGCATTGCTCGTTTCTCAAAATACAGCTGTTTTTTTTGGATACTGAAATTTGTATCCGCGCTTACACCCTCAACCCCTGCCCCCACCCTCCAGGTGAAGTTCTTTAGTCCTGTGACCGGTCCTGAGCCAGAGCTGGCAGTACCCTCTGGTGATCTGGGGCAAAGGCAAAGGGGTTACCGAGAAGCCCATGTCAAACCTCTGTAGGGAACACCCACTATCAATTCTGGCAAATGGAAGGATTCTGTGACCCCTTTTCGTCACTTTCCCAGGGGCAGGAATGATGAACCTGTAGTGAAATCCAATGACAAGTTCCAAAGAGCAAGCCAGTGGGATTTACAAATAAAGAGATGGGTGGAACGTACATATTCTCATTCCAAATAGACACAGAGCGGGTGCAGCAATCTGTGCAGACTCAGCTTGACGGGAGAGGCCATCATGCATTTGTTCATTTCTTGAGAGAAGGAAAACTTGTTACACGGAAGTGTAGGGCCTCAGCCTTGCATTTACCAAGGGTTCCTTCAATCTGCATGATCAGCGTTTTGGCTGAGCTCGTCCTTGTTTCAATGGTTATTGTGTACTTACTCTGTTCTAGACTTTGGGCCAGGTGATCTACAGACATTTTTTAACCCTCATGGCAACTACTTATGGTGGACACTTTTATCCCGTTTTACAGATGAGCAGTCTGAGGGTCTGAATGTTAAGTGACTTATTCAAGGCCACACAGTCAGAGGGTAACAAAGACAGGACCCAGGTTTGAAGTGCCTTCTGTGGATGACAACCCTACGGCTTAACAGTGAAAACAAAAAGGAGAGAAGGTCATTGTGACTCCTCAGTTGCAAGACTGGGTTTCTGCCCTGCACATCAACCAGCAGCTTTAACTCTTTCCTTTTCCAAAAAGCATTGTCCTTGCCCTGGCTGAGTGGCTCGCTTGGTTGGAGCAGCTAATCGATGTTCTCTCTCATCGATGTTTCTATCTCTCCCTCTCCCTTTCTCTCTCTCTAGAATCAATAAAGAGAAAATATTAAAATATAGATATATATATTATCCTAGTCTATAAATTTCTCAGGTAGGGACTATGTCCAACTCATTTTTTATCCTGCATCACAGCCTCATGTTTGGCTAACCTTTATTCATGGACTCCTGGAGTTATTTCACTTCAAAGAACTTAATCCTTAATATGCTCGAAAGCGTCATTTAAAATTCATTTCATTTGAAAATGACTTTGCTCTAATTTACTGGTATGCTTTGACCAAGATTTATTCTGAATTCAATTATAAATGAGGAGCAATGTCAGAAGTTGAAAAGAGAAATATTTCTTCTTCAGTGGTTCTCTTTTGGGGGGCAGGGAGGGAGGGCTAAGTTAAATAATCAAGCCTCTATTCTGAAGGTTGTAGAAGTGGAAATAATTTCTTTGACAGCTGTAGAAATGTAGGCAGGTGGAATGTATAAAAGAGAAACAATCTTGGTTTTGTTGGCAATGTGATTATGTAAGTTGAGGCGGAGAGGAAAATGATCAGAACCAGGGTGAACTGTTCAAAAAGATTATCTTCATTTTTGTAGAGTTTAGGGAATATTAAAAATAGAGATAATTTTTTTATGTGGTATTTGTAAATCTTTAGATTTTTATTAAGTAAAATGTGTGTTCATCTCCTCATGTCATATTGGTTACTTTTCTGGTCTTGGATCGCAGAATTTTGCATCTGAGTTAAAGACAGACAGACCTTTCACGTTCTGCCATTCTGTGACCACGTGGTCCGTAACACCTTGCTCTTTTGCTGTGAGTAAAATGTTAAGATCCTGTGCTTTTGAGATGAAGATGAGCAAGGACCCCAGGGGTCACACTGGAGGATGAGTTCTTGGCCTTCAGAGCTCCGTGGTTCTCAACAGCGGGGAAAGACTGTGTATGGCGGGAGAGAGGAAGATAACATGATACACTGGTGCGGGGAATCTTAGAAACGAGTCTGAGGGAAAGAAAACAGTTGCTTGAAGGGAAATTAAAAAATAGAAATCACTAACTAGTGCTTTAAGTTGGAAATGTTATTTGAGGGTGTAAACAGGTACCTGAGAGTACCCCCAAGTGAGTAAGGGTGAGAGCAGAGGGTGACGCTGGTCAAGGTTTGAGTTTATATAATTCCATGTCATTCTTCTGTGTAGACATTGTAAGGTTCTGTGTAGAAGCAATTCCCAAAGCCCAGAAAAAATTGTTTTGTCTATCCTAACCTCACCTCTCGGGATTCTCTCTGAGGGTGATAGCGTGACTTCTGCACTGATGATTTCATATAAAGTCGTAAAATATATTGATGATGATTATAATGGGTGATCAAGAGACCTATGTTTAAGGACTACAAATCTTCTCTGGATCAGCCTGCCTGTCAGAAACAGGATCATGCTATTCTTTTTCTTGGCTCATATAAGAAGCATAGATATACAGAGATTAATGCTTCATTTTCACACAGTAAGTACTGGTAGAATCACAGGTAGAACCATCTAGTTCCACATGTATGCATAGTCCATCTACTTTCATTGAAAGATTACTTGGAAGAAACTAAAGGCAAGGATTGATCTTTATTTTTATGATAGGAAATTGATTTTTTAAAAAAGTTTTTTATTTTCCTTTATTGATGTTAGAGAGAGAGGAAGGAAGAGGGAGAGAGAAATAGAAACATTGATGAGAGAGAACATCGACTGGCTGCCTCCTGCATGCCCCGCACTGGGGATCAGGCCCACAACCTGGGCATGTGCCCTGACCGGGAATCAAACCGGCGACCTCTTGGTGCATGGGTCGACACTCAACCGCTGAGCCATGCCAGCAGGACAAATTGAGTTAAAAATAATAATTCTACCTCTTTTAACAAAGCATCATTATTCCCATGTGACCATGGCCAGGCCTGGTGCATTTCAAACCCATCTTCTGGAGGTTTCTTGTTGATCAGACTCACAGTCTCTGGTATCTTCGTGGCCAAGTTTCAGGCTATTTTGGAAGGAGTCCCAGTAGGTGAAAAAGGAACTTCACTTCTGAAAGTTCTTAACACCTTTAAAAGCAATTTAATAAGTAGAGTGACTTGGAAGGACATTTAGAAAAACATGAGGGTGAAACCTCTTTACTTCTTTGAAAAGCAAAGGAATGAGAGTGGGTGAAAAGACCATCTTTTCCGACAAGAGTTGTGCTGAATCATGTCTTGTGCTGTGTGATGTTAGCCGGCCATTGGTGACAATGGGGTGTTGTAAGTGTCTGGCTGGTGAAAATGACCATTAGAAAACAAAACAGCTAAAGCCCTGGCCGGTTTGGCTCAGCGGTTAGAGGGGCGGCCTGCGGTCCAGAGACACCCGGGTTCGGTTCCCGCTAAGGGCACGTACCTCGGTTGCAGTTTGTCCCCGGCCCCTGTTGGGGTCGTGTGGGTGGCAACCACTCGATGTGTCTCTCTCAACCAGTACATGGATGTTTTTCTCTCTCCCTTCCTCCCTCTCTCTTCGCTCTATCTGAAGATAAATACAAAAATGTCCTTGGGTGAGGATAAAAAAAAAAAAGAAGAAAACAAAACAGCTAAGGATAGGCCAGTGCTCACTGCAAGTGTGACTCAGTAGCTGTCATGTAGTTAGCTGCTTAAAAGGGTATCAGGGTTTGGTTTTCTATAATTCCATGTCAGTCTTCTTTTTAGATGTTGCAAGGCTCAGTGTAGAAGTAATTCCCAAAGCCCAGGATGAATTAGACAAACAGCCCTGAGCTTTGGTCTCTCTCTATTACTCATTAACTGCTAATTTGGGAAAGTACATACAGTACTTCATGTCTTCATATATAACTCTCATTTGTCCTCATACATAAAATGGGGGTAATATGATAAGGTAAAGCCATACAAAATTGCTATTTTTGAAGGTCAAAACTGATCACATATTGTCAAGTTCATATAATTCAACCTGGTACCTTCTACCTCATAGTGTTATTGTAAAGAGTAAATGAGAACTGGTTGTAAGTGCCTGGCACATGCTTAGTTCATAGTAAGTGCTCAATAAATGGTGGATAGTATTCTTAAGTGAATCACATTATTTTGAATATAGTAATCACACTCAAAATCCTATTTGTTTACAAACTTATATATCAAAATTTAAATCCAACCTATTCATTTACAATGACTACAATGATAGAGGGAAAATTAATTTTTCCTGTAAACATTTGCAAGAGAGTTATTACTCACTAAAATGCAAAAAGTGTGAGAATGCAGTAAGCATATTTTTGTATCTGGCCTCTTTCACTTAGCATAACGTTTTCAAGGTTCATCCATATTGTAGCCTGTGTCAGTACTTCATTCTTTTTAGTGCCAAATAGTATTCTATTGTATGAATATACCACATTTTTGTTCATCTATTCATCAGTTGATGTACATTTGAATCATTTCCGTTTCTTGGCTATTATGAATAATGCTGCTATAGACATTGTGTACAAAAGAACAGATTGCCTGATTCCATTTATATGAAATGTCCAGATTAGGCGAATCCATAGAGAGAGGAGGTGAATCAGTGGTTGTCAGGGGCTAGGAGGACGGGGAGTGGGGGTGACCGCTAATTGGGTTTCTTTTCGGGATGGTCAAATGCTCTAAAAGTATGCAGTGGTGATGGCTGCCAATCCTGTGAATGTGCTAAAGACCACTGAATGGTACACTTTACAAGGATGAATTTTATGTATGTGAGTTACAACTTGTTAAAGTTGTTATGAAAAATAGTGAGAAACAACGTTACATAATATATGCTCACCATACAACGAAAGAGAGAACCCAATGATTTATGCAGTTTATTATCATCAGGAAAAGCATTCTTCCTTGAGAAGTATTTCACTAATTTTGCTTTTAATCTACTCCCACTTCAAGCATAATAATACTTCTTTCTTATTCTGCTCAGCAGAATGATTGGAATTTGACTCTCAACTTATTCAAAGAGCCAAGTTGAGTATTAAAAGGCAGTGGAGATCATGGAAAAAAGCAGATATAATTTGAAGCTAGCAGAATTGTACTGATATTAAAAATTCTATGACATATACCAAGAGATCACCTTAATCAAGAATCCAGGGGCCCCGGAAAGGAGATTTTGCAGTTCAGAAACACGAAAAATGAGAGAGAGGTTTATTTGTATAGCTTCTTTTCTCCATGAGGTTTAGTATAATTGAAATGTGCTGTAATTTTCAGGAACAGTAATGAATTGATATTAGGTGGTCTATAGCTTGTAATTAATGTGTTCCGTGGTAAAGATGGCAGTAATGATGTTTTAAATATCCTAATGCTAATTGCATTTCATTTTTGCTGGCAATTTGCAGCTCCTTTGCGTAAAACATTTATGTTCAATTACAGAGACTGATAGATACATGGGCTGCCCCCTCCGCCTCATCACTAGAAAGCATTCATGGTGCTTTCTGACGGCCGCGTTGGAGGGAGCAAAAATTATAGCTACACTTCTTCTAAGACTTCAGCAGCATCTCTTGGCAGGGGTTTATATACTCTCTTCCATTTCTTTGACTTCGGACGACACAACCTTGCCGTCCACTACTTCTTGCACGACTGTCTTAATCTTCCTGGTTTTCTTTATATCTGAATTTAGATGTAAATATAAAATGTTAATTCAGACACATAACTCTGCTAGTTTATAATATTTAACTTTCGATTATTATTTTGTATGTATTTTTTTCCTTTCAGAAAAATGTTCTCTTTCTGACATGATCTTCAGTCCATTTTGAAAACAAATGCAGAAAATTTGCCACTGTTCCCAAATTTATACATATTCTACTGTCCCCGCCCCCAAAGAGAAATATACAACATTGAATTAAGCAAAATGCACATTCTCATCTAATTTTTCATTTTCAAGACCTCAGGATGTCTCAGGACAATAGCATAGGGCCAAGAAGGCCACCCCATCATAGGGAGTGTGACAATTTCCCACAGGGAGGTTTTCTTTATGTGATATGCTTGATGTTCAGAATCCGAGGGGAGCACTTGCTCACTTGAGAACTGAGCTCCCTTCCTTTCCCCCAGCGGCCGATAATAAGTGGTAAGCTACTGAGGGAGAATTCAGTCTTGTAGAAAGTGTGTGAAAATTAGAGCACTTACCTCTCTCCCCCGCGATGCTTATCTGATGTTCTGTAGTCCTGGGTTTTGTTTTTTAAGAAAAGAAAAAGAAACAGAAGAAAAGTGTTATTGCCATTTTGAAAATGAAGCACTATCCCGCCTTTTTTGTTTCAAAATTAAGTCTGAGTGATGTGTGTTTTAATTCTGTTTGTCCCCCTCACCCCCCTTTACTATGCTTGTTTCTTCTAACTTGAGTTTCTTCCTTTTTAACTTGGAAAATACATAGCTTCAAAATGGACCCATTTAACACATGCTAGAAGCTTTTCTAATTAAAGTAATGAAACTACAGTGGAAGTTGCAATCTGTGTTCTCGTGTGATTTCCTTGGGTGTGGTATTTGAGGGGAGTTGCAGCTGCATCGATGATGCTTAAACTGGTTCCCACAGACCTCTGGGGCCTGCTGTGCAATTCACAACCTCTCAATGAGAATTGTAAAAAGTTATTGTGCTTTCCATTATGTATGAATTATAAAAATTACCATTAGCATAATCTTCCTCGTCTGTATAACCTCTTCTAACTCTGCCCTACAACACAACCTCAAGTACAAAGCCTGTATTTGGTATCTTTAGGGTGTGTGTACTTTTGGGTATATTTTCATGCGGCTATTGATGTTGGTGTATATTTTGTGCCAGGGATGGCACTGGTGCGTGGGAATGAGGGACATGGTGTGATGTGTGCACGGTAAAATAGCCCAGCAGGTAGACACTGACACACATCCCTTGGTTCTAAGATCCTCACAGATCCTTACATTATCTCTTCTCCTTCCAGAAGGCGCCGGTAAGTAGCAATTTCCTGCTCCAGCCGGATCTTCATGTCGAGGAGCTCGTTGTACTCTCTGTTCTGGCGCTCCGCATCCGTCCGGATCTGCATCAGCTGCGCCTCGATGGAGTTGAGCAGGGCCTGGATGGCGGCCAGCTGGCTCTGATAACGAGCGTTGGTGTCCTGCAGCGTCTTCTCCAAAGATTCTTTCTAGGAGCACAAGGAAAGTGGATGTTTCTTACGTGAGAGCTGGATTTAAGAGACGGCTCAATTTTCGTATCTCTTGAGAGGAATTTCTATAGCGAGTTACTGTGGGCATCATGCGTGTTTTCAGCTTCATCTCCCTCCTGTTCCTCTAGGCGGTCCCAGCCCGCCAGCCAGGGTCACACGCTCCTAGCTTTGCATTCACTGTTCTCTTACTGTGTGTTATGTTATAGTTCTCAGTATTTGCTTCCCTCCCTGCGATTTCCGGTGCCTCTCCACGCCGAGGGGTGGACTTCCTCATCCTCTGGACACCAGGCTTGGTCAGATGACTTTCTTTGGGTAATGAAATGCAAGTGAACCTGACAAGTGGCTTTTCTGAGAAGCTTCACGGGTGAACGCAGGCTCTTTTCATTGTGCCGCACACTCGTGTGCCCCAGCCAGAGCTGCCACCAGGCCACCGTGGAGGCGGGCTGGTGGGAGCCACTGTGATTCGGGGGTTGTTACCACAGCCTAATTTATCCTGTGCTGACTGAGTTGCTTTGCCTAGAATGTCTGTACCCCTATTCTCTAGCTTTTAAAAATTCATCTTAGGTTTCCTATCTGGTTTAAATGCCACTTTCCCTGTGAGGTCTTCCAGATCGACTTCTCCCTCTGTGTCCTTGCGGTCCATTGCCCGTTCCCTTGGTTTCTTTCTGTCCTTTAATTGTAATCTGTTGTGTGGTCTGTTTCCCTGGCTCTGCAAGGGGAGAGGTTATTTCTTATAGGCCTTCACATTTTCAAAGTTCCTCACACAGGCGCTCAGTAAACACGCACGGCGCCGAGAGCCGGGAGCGAGGTGTGCTTACCATACTGAGGTGGGACTGGAGGTCGATCTCCACGTTCTGGTAGGTGTGTCTCAGCTCCTTTACTCGAATCTCCGATTCTTTCAGTTCTGCCGTGTTCACTGTGACCTGCTGCTGCAGGGTTTCCGTCTAAAATTCCAAAAATGAAGAAATAAATAAGGTAAGAAAGGAAGAAAAGAAGGCAGGAGAGAATGAGGGAGGGAAGCAGGAAGGGCAGCTTCTACACACTCGCTCATCCTCCAGAATCGTGCTATTACCTGGATCTCAAACTCTTCTTTGGCCTTCTTAAGGTTCTCCTGGGCCAAGGCTTCGTATTTCTGCCTCATTTCGTCCATGACGGCGCTGAGGTTCAGGCCCGGAGCGGCCATCAGCTCCACATTGACAGTACTGCCCAGCTGCTTGCGTAGGATGTCCACTTCCTGCGGGAAAGGAGACCCTGGCTGATTACAGTACTATTTCAATTAAATTGGCATTTCTATAGTCTCATCTTAAAGTAAAAGTAAATAAAAATCTCAGTATTCTATTTTAGTATTAAGACCAGTGACTAAGACCAACAACTTAATGTTCTGGTATTAAATTAACATAATTCATATAAAGCCTATAAGAACACTCTAACCAAGGTCGAGTGTGTTCCCAGAAGAGGCTGGGCAGAGAAGACTTTATAAGTTTTATGGCTTCTTTCACTGGGAGTGAGTCAAAAAAGGAAGAACATAATAACTTAGGCAGGGCCTTTTTAGAAATTCTCACCCAAGGACACTTTTTACCATTTATCTTCAGATGGACTGGGAGGGAGGGAGAGAGAGAGAAAGATGTACATCGATGTGAGAGAGACGCATCGATTGGTTGCCTCCTGCACAACCCCGATCAGAGCCAGGGACCGAACTGCAACCGAGGTCCGTGCCCCTGACCGGAATGGAACCCAGGACTCTGGCCTGCGGGCCGACGCTCTAACCGCTGAGCAAACCGGCCAGGGCTTTTTACAGTCCAGGTATTGCTCTAAGTTATTTAACCCTGACAGAACCTTATGAAAGGAAGTTAGGGGCAACCTCATATTGTTGTCTTCTTCACCATCACACCACCACCAAATCTTCCTCCTCCTCTTCCTTATTGTCATAGCCCTTCCACCGTTCCCAATACCAATTCTGAATAGTTTCTTACCTCCTGATGTTCTTTTTGGAGGAGAACCAGCTCTTTATTCAGTTCTTCAATTTGAATCTCCAAGTCTGTTTTCTTTAGGGTTAGATCATCATAGACCTTACTCAGGCCGTGGATGTCGGCCTCCACTGTCAGGCGCATCGCTCTCTCCGTCTCATGTCTGAAATTAATGAATAAGCAGAGATAATTGAGTCCTGAAGCCATTATAGGAGAGGTCATCTTAATATAACCAGATAGGTTTCTATGTGGTATATAATAATATCAATTTCAATATATCATTGTATCCCTCTTTATACATTTCAACAATGTTCATGGGAACCTAGAAATCAGATAATTTGAGCCATAATATAATCTCTGTGATTTGGTTAAAAAAAAGCAATCTGAAATTGCTTTTAAAAGTTTCTGAATTCTAGGGTATATTTAAAGAGAAATTAAAAAATTTTGCTTTAATCACTGTGTGAGCAAAGGGTTCTCATTATAGATATTAAAAAATGCATAGTTAAATTTACTTAATGAGTATACACGACCAATTTATTTTTATTACTTTGTAAACAGATGAATCCAAAGTAAATTATCTTAAAAATTCATGCATTCTCTTCTACAATTTTATATATTCCCATTTTTGTTAAAGTCGTCAAGTTTAAAAAATGATAATGCTGCCCAACTGGTATGGCTCAGTGGTTGAGCGTTGACCCATGCACCAAGAAGTCGCCAGTTCGATTCCCCATCGGGGCACATGCCCAGGTTGTGGGCTAAATCCCCAGTGGGGGGCATGCAGGAGGTGGCCAATCAATGTTCTCTCTCATCGATGTTTCTATCTCTCTCTCCCTCTCCTTTCCTCTCTCTAAAATCAGTAAAGAAAAAGGAGAAAACAAAAACAAAAATGATAATGCAATAGGACACTCAGATGTTGACAGGAATTAGTGAATTTTACTGCTTTAATCTTCATATCTGCTTTCTCATTTTTTTTCCTGTTTGATCCCTTGTAGCATTAAGATGCTGCCCTTTTAAAATGTAAAGGACTCTTTAGTGCAGCTGCATTGCACACACTTGGGTGCGGAAGCCTTAGTGTAGCAGCAGGCTCTGAGGACAACCCCGATCACGTGTAGTGTGCTATGACTACAGGACAGCGAGCACTGTTTGAACAGTTTAATCACAGTCCGAGTTCTTTGGCTGGTCAGACTGTATCTTAAAACACTGAAAAACTGGAAAGCACCAAGAGTCACGTCACCCCGGGACTTTGGTCATACACCTGTAGGCAGTTAGGGAATATGGGTAATTCACTTCCAGAATCCCTAAGATAGACAAATGACTCACTTTCGATAACAGAAGGACACTTATGCAGGGTTTTAAATTGCTGTGTTATGATTCCAAAGGGCAGAGTTAGGCTCCATATGTGAGAAGGTAGATGCCAGGTTCCTAAAAAAGAATATTCTAGCAAGTAGCGCTAACCAATAAGAATAATAATAGTTGCTGGAGGTGTTCAGTTACACGCTGGGTGATGAAGTCTTAAGCCTGGGGGAGGGAAGTACAGCTCTGAGTGCTGGGCTATACCAGATAGCTTCTAACACCCTTTAAATGCCAAGAATCCGGAAACATTTAGTGGCTGCCCCTTTGCCAACAATGGAAAGCCGAGTGTCATGAAGGACTAAAAGAAATTCCTTTCCAGGAAGTTTTGCCATGGCATTAGAGAACCTACTTCAGTCTGAAGTCCTCAGCAGCCAGCTTAGCATTGTCAATTTTCAGGACCCACTGGGCATTTTGCATTTGAGCATCTTTAATCTGGAAAACACATGAGAAAGAATGACATTTTCAACTGCATAGGAGTTTTAAATGATTGCGCTCATCCTCAGACACAACCTCTACTATATCAAAGATGATGTTCATTTCAGTAATTTCCATGTAAAAACAGAAAGGAAGAATAGTGACATGGGTATTTGACATAACAGCTTTGTCAAACGCAACGCTAGTCCCAGAGTTTGATCAGCTTTCCTGTGATTTTACCAAAGGAGATTTTAATTCGACTTGAGGCATCACACCTTATTGAGTGCCTTGCCTTTGTTCCTGCTTAGAACATTCCTCTGGGCTCCTCTCACTTGGTGAACCCCTCCTCCTCCCCCTCCTCCTCCACGGCTCGGCTTAGACATTCACTGCTGTAGGCCTTCACGATGTCCTCCAAACAGAACTGGACGGATGAACTGCCTGCGCCCTCTCTGCCCTACGCAGCTGTCCATGCCAGCGTTTACCCTTCTGTGCGGGGTAAACGTTGCCTTTGTCCTTGCCTGTTTCTCCCTGAATTACCATCATATTTCCCATTACCCGGAATGCTGACCAGCACCTAGTCAGTGTCTACTAAACACTGGCTGACGAATGGACACGTGTGGTGGGAGCTGTGCCATGCGCCGCGGCTGTCAGGATGGATATGAGCCCCTGCTCTTAAGGAGCTATTACCTAATGGGTGACCTCTCTAAGATGCTCATGGATCGGAAGTCTGCTTGTAGGAGATGTTATAACGACACGTCTCTCTCAGCAGATCCCATTCTAGAGAGAACTGCTTCCTTCAAATACTCGGTCTATCCAGCCACATGGAAGAAATGGCTGTGCCTATGGATTTGGGATGACCCAAAGTAGATTCAGAAACAGGAACCAGGAGACAGGTAGGGAGAATGGTTGGCTGATTCTGAAAGTGTTCAGTGAGAAGAATGTTGGCAGAAAGGGCAACTCAAACACCTTCGCCTCCAACATCACTTCCTGTAGAATGGGAATCGAGTCATATTGCTGTCTAATACAACACAAGGAAAAAACAAAAAAAACAAAAAAAAAGACTTGCTGGTGAGTGGCCTTTGCCCTAAAAGGAAACGAATGTTAAAATAGAAAGCAAAAGCAAAGGGCCACTGTTCTTGATTAGATAAGGATATTGAAGCAGTGTAAGTGCTCTGTGTCATAGCTGAAATCTTCAGCTAGGAGCAAAGTCTTCTTTTATTCCACATGTTTGATAACACAGAGAACTCCACCTTCCTTGGGTGACATGGTTCTGATACAGTTGCAATAAATTTGAATTGGGGGCAATAGAACCTTTTATTACTGTCGAAGTGTTTCCTGCACTGCTGGCTGCTGCCAATCAGATCATTAAGCAGGACACTGAACAATCCAGGTGTCACCAAGATCAATACCCCTCCCCCCATTTCCATCCTGCATCACTCAATTATCGAAAGCTACGATACTGGAGTCTAATACTTGTATCATACCATTTACATAGATGAAAGGGGGAAACTCTAAATCAACTGGGGTTTCAAAAGCCGATGGGAACTAGGTGAAAAACTAAGAAAGATTCATCATCACTTAAAAAATGTAGCTTTTTCAGAAAAAGAAAAAAAAAGGTTTACTATTTGCATAGCCCCAAATGACTTGGTAAACTATGACAAAACTACAGATTATAAGATTGGAAGATGAATGTTCCTATTTGCTATATAATTCGATTTTAAAACTTTAAAAAGCATGATGATTTACAGCCACCCTATTATGTAATCAGGTACTCCAGCACTAAAGGTAGATGATACTATACCATTTTTATAGATGTTGCATTTCAGCCTAATTTGCTTTACAGGGTCCATTTGGACCCACCTAATGCACACGCCCTCTCGATAGATCATGCAGCTAACAATGGAGTAGAACACGCAGGCATCATCCCTCACCTGAGACTGCAGGTCTGCGATTTGTTTGTAGTACGCACTGTAGTCCCGGCTGATGCTGGGCACGTTTGATTCATACCACTGTTTAATCTGCACTTCCAGTTGGGAGTTAGACTGCTCCAGGGACCGCACTTTTTCCAGGTAGCTTGCCAGGCGGTCATTGAGGTTCCTCATGGCCATCTTCTCATTGCCAAAAACCAGTTCCCCTTTGTTGAGATCATTGCCATAGCTTACTGAGCCTTTGGAGATTGAGATGCGGGTGCCATGTCCTCCAGCTCCCCCATAGACGCTGGGTGCAGTCCCCAGGAGCTGCATGCCCCCATTCCTATACAGGCTGCCTGGAGAGACCTGGGAGGAGGAACTCAGGCTCCTGTGGAAGCTTCTGCGTGTGAACTCCATTGGGGATCCTAGGAGAGAGCACCTGTAGCTTCAGGATGGCTGGAGAGTCTGTTCCTCCGTGGTGAATGAACTAACCTTTTATACCAGTCACAGTAAGAAACTCCTCCTCTGCTGACATTTCACCTTAGGATTGACACCACAGTCCACCTTGTCTAGCTTCCCTCCTCCCCCCACCTCTGTACAGCAATCTGTTTAATTCCATTCCAGAAATTACTACTAGAGGCATTTCTTAGAGGCTTTTCTCAGGGGTGATATCTTTTTTTTTCAGCAGAGGTAACAAAAGGAAATAAGGTGTGTTCTTTAGCTCTTGCACCTGCCTTGGAAAATTTTTTTCATCCGAATACACACATGAAGAATATTTGAAATCTCCATGAATAATTTAGGTTCCTAAAAAGACAGATATGGCTACATAATAGTAAGTCACGCTGGTGATAAAGAACAACTTTAAAAAAAAAAATTTAAATTAATCTTTTTCTTTTTGGTGATAACATTTAAGTTTTATTCTCTTAATTATACAATACAGCATTATCTACTATAGTCACTATGTTCTACATTTGATCCTCAGACAGTATTCATCTTAAAGCTGAAAATTTGTACTTAAAAAAAAAAAACTTGCCCTGGCCGGTTTGGCTCAGCGGTTAGAATGTCGGCCTGCGGTCCAGAGAGACCCGGGTTCGGTTCCCGCCAAGGGCACGTACCTTGGTGGCAACCACTCGATGTGTCCTTTTCACGTTGATGTTTCTCTCTCTTTCTCCCTCCCACTCTATCTGAACAAAAAAAATGGAAAAAATGTCCTTGGGTGAGGATAAAAAAAAAAACTTGAAAAAAAAACAACACTTTATTGTTGTAAGTATTACAGATGTCCCCCTTGACCCCCTCCTCCCTGCTCCTGCCCTGCTCCTGACTTCCCCACACTATTATATGTGTCCATTGGTTATGCACATATGCATGTAAGTTCTTTTTCATCTCTTTCTGCACACCCTCCTTCCCTCTGAGGTTCATCAGTCTAACAACCAATTTCTACTTCTTAATCCCTTCACCTTTTTTGCCCATTCCCCCAGCCCTCCCTCCCATCTGGCAACCAACAAAAAGTTCTCTGTATCTATGAGTCTGTTTCTGTTCTGCTTGTTCATTTTGTGTGTAGATTCAATTGGCAATAGATATGTATTTATTGCCATTTTATCGTTCATAATTTTCTTCTTCTCCTCCTTCTCCTCCTTCTCCTCCTTCTCCTCCTTCTCCTCCTTCTCCTTCTCCTTCTTCTCCTTCTTCTTCTTCTTCTTCTTCTGGAAGACCCTTCAACATTTCATATAACACTGGTTTGGTGGTGATGAATTCCTTTAGTTTTTTCTTGTCTGGGAAACTATATATCCATTGATTCTAACTGATAGCTTTGCAGAATAGAGTAATCTTAGTTGAAGGTCCTTGCTTTTCATTACTTTCAATATTTCTTGCTACTACCCTCTGGCCTGAAAAGTTTCTTTTGAGAAATCAGATGACAATCTTATGGGAGTTCCCTTGTAGGTAACTAACTGTTTTTCTCTTGCTTTTTTTGTGTGTGTTGTTGTTGTTAATCCTCACCAGAGGATGTTTGCCCATTGATTTTTAGATAGAGTGGAAGGGAGAAAGGGAGGGAAGGAGAGAGAGAGAAAAACATCTATTGGTTGCCTCCTGCATGACCCTGACCAGGCTGGGGATTGAACCTGCACCCCAGGTATATGCCCTTGACCAGGAATCGAACCTGCGACCCTTCAGTCCTCAGGCCATTGCTCTAATCACTGAGCAACCAGCCAGGGTTCTCTTTCAGCTTTTAAGATTCTCTCTTTGTCTTTAACCTTTTGCGTTTTGATTACGTGTCACATAGAACAAGACTTACTTTAGCAGGGCTCTGGTACCCACTCAGCCCACTCCTTGAGTGTGTCGCTTGCAGAGGTGGTTGGTTGGTGGTGCTTCAACATGGTCTGAAGCTGTCCATGGGGTGTGCTGGCTCTGGGGCAAGGTCAGCCACTGCCTGTGTTCTACCTGGGGCCACCAGGCATAAGCTACAAAGCGATCTGCTGATGGCTGCTTCTTGTGCTGGGCTTGGAGGTGCCCAGGCAAAGCCAAGCTGTGAACCAAGGCTGGTTGATTCTAGGGCAGGGCCTGGGGCCACTTAGTGAGAGGTATGGGGCTTGGTGAGGCCAGATGCTGCTTGTTTGAGAGAATTTAGGAAAATCTGAAGCAGGATCCAAGACTGGCCAATCCTATGGCAAAGCCACTGGAAACAGCTTGGGTGGGCCTGGAAGTTGGATGGGACAGGGCCTCAAGGAATCACAAGGGAGGGGCAAACCATGTGAGCCATGTTGCTGGAGTCCCGGATATGGTACCTATCTGCCGGGCCTGTGGGGGAAGGGCTCACCAAAAGATCAAAGGCCTCCACCAGCAGGTCTGTCCAGGAGAAAGCTGCCCCTCCAGCTCTCACCCTGATGCCAAACAGCTCAGTTCTTCCCTGTATGTCTCCCCAGTGCTGGAGCCTGGAGGGAGCTGGTCCGAGTAAGTCTGTATGTGGGCCCTTTAAGAGGAACTGCCTGGGGCTCCAGCAGCCGCAGCCTCCTTCAGCCTCAGTTCCCGCTGGAACCCATCACAGAAGTGATGGGGGGCCTGGTGTGGGACGGGGACCCCTCACTCCTGAGGGAGGATCTTCACAGCCAAGCTATCCTCCTGATTTTTATCTGCCACACGTGGGTGTGGGACCAGCCGGTCTGTGGTTGTGGGAGGAGGTGATACCGCGTTTACCTACGTGGCCGTCTTGACCGAAGTCCTGAAAGTCTGTACTCTTTCACCAATCTTTTCCTATTTCCTCCACCCCAGCCCCTGGTGGCCACTTTCTACTCTCTGTTTCTATGAGTTTGGCAACTTCTCCTCCTCTTTCAGATTCCACACATAAGTGGTACCATGCGGTATTTGTCTCTCTCTGTCTGGCGTATTTCACTAAGCATAATGCCCTCAAGGTCCATCCATGTTGTTCCAAAAGGTAGGATCTCCTGCCTTTTTTATGGCTGAATAATACTCCATGTATATATATGGAATATTATCTACATATGCATCAACCAACACCCACTGAGTGTTCCCCAGTAATGACTGGAAGGGCCTGTCACTAATAAGTGGTAATAAGCAGACCTTACTAGTCATTAAAGAGCTATACATTACGTTGCAAAGGATGTCGCAGCTAAAACCTGCAGTAAAGAACTTTTTATAAACACCCGAACTATGTTCTTCTATTTATGTGTGTTCACAAAATTAATCTGTCTTTTTGTTATTGCTTAATGGGGGAGAAGGAGGTTTGATTAAAGTCACTGGAAAATTGTACTGTTTAAATTGTACCCATTTTGCAGTTGTGTAGCAGCATTATTTGAATGAAGAATTAGCTTTATAGCTAGAAAGGAATATAAGTGCAGTTATTACACATAACAATTTTGGGAGTTCTCTTCCTGAGCACAATTGTTCCTTATGTCTGCATCTAATTATGTTCAAGTGAAAGAGTTAAAAATCATTTGGATTATTTTGGAGAAATAAGTTGTCTATGTGTTATTCTGCCAATTTTTTGGTATTTGTAGGTTTTTGGGATTTCAAATTTAAACTAAATGAGACATTAGCACTAAATTATGGGGTTCAGTCATCCAATCTACTCATTTGTTGAGTAGAACAGGTTCTGTGGTGAAAATTTCCAGGTGTGTATGTAAGGCAGGAGAGTGTGACGGCTTCTCCGTCACACTGAGTTTTATGTGTGATTTTTATATCTTATAATATGATCACAGGAAATCAGGGTAGTATTTCACAGCAGTTAAGTTTTCTGAATTATACTTGAGGACTAGAACAGGTCCTGTTGACTCTTACTCATATGCGAGTCATGAATTTACAACCCCTGATATCCCAGGCTGTTGGATGATTGCATCTGTAAATAAATATTTATTGGATTCCAACTTCCTTATGATTAATAGGAGGCACATTTTTTACCTTGTAGACAGACTCTGTTAATGATTAATGTTAAGTATGGCCAGTATTTTGGAGAGTTATCATGAGCACTATTGTTTTTAGAGGATTTTGAAATCTGCGCCCCCCCCCCCCCCCATTATGGACAAGCTGTTGCCACCCACATGTGATGCATAGAGAATCTGAAATCTTTTGTGGGGAAGGGTTGTCTTTCCCAGACATCTCAGTCAGGATGTATTGCTCTGCTTGGTTGAGAAGGATGGCATATAGGAACTGTGGGTGTTTGTAGGCATTGAGGTTCTAGATACCCAACAACACAAAGTGAAGTCAGAAAATAATCATGGCTTCTGTGCTTTAAAAACTGGTTTACTTTGTGAAATAGTTACATGTGAAATGATATGATGTCTTTGCTTGGCTTCAAAATAAAATAGGAGGGAGGGAGAAGGGGGGTGGGAGTATAGATGGAGGAAGTTTAGCCATGAGTTATTTGTTGAAGCTAGGAAATGGATACATGGGATTTATTATACTGTTCTAACTACTCTAGTGTTGGTTTGAACATTTCTATAATAAGACATTTAAAGATCCAGATGCAGTAAACTTACATTATTGTATTTTACACCATTAATCTGGCATATTCAAGTTTTTTAAAAAATTTGTCTTTATTGTTGAAAGTATTACAGATGTCCCTCCCTTTCCCCCCATTGATTCTTTCCTCTCAGCTCCTGTCCCCCACCCCCCTTCACTGCACTGTTGTCTGTGTCCATTGGTTATGCATTGGCATATTCGAGTTTTGATTTGTGCTTATTTGGTAATTCTGTCTTATTTCCGTGAGTTGGTAGGTTTGTTGTCTCACAGTGGCTCAAACATAGTAGGTACTTGATGTCCACTTACCATATGAATGACAAATGAGTGAATGAATGAAAGTGCTGATGTCCAGCTTCCAGGAGAGAAGAAGCATTTGTGGAGAGGTTCTCTGTGCCCATTAACTCCAGACATTGACAAGCTAAGAGTGCTTATTACATTTTATT